CTGCCTTCAGCTTGGCTCTCCCCTCTGCTCTCGCCGGCTCCCTTTCTGCCGGCAGCCTGCTAAAGCACCCTCGCAGACTGACCAGCCGAAAGGAGCCTTAGAGCAGGTGGATGTGGAAAGTGACTCTGCTCTAGAGGAGGGCAGAGCCCCGGGAGAGCTGTATAGATCGGCCCCGCCAGCAGCGCGGTGAGTGCGGGGCTGAAGGGCACCGGGGATCCCAGCGGCCGGGCAGGCCGGCGCTCACCCCTCGGAAAAGCTCGATGGCATTATGAAGAGGCGGTGCCTGCCACGGGACCAGACACAGCGGCCCCACAACTCCTCTCCTCTCCCGTTCGCGTTGTTCCCCGCACCAACGAGCAGCCTCGTGTCCGGGCGGAGGTGAGCAGGCAGAAGTCGCGGGCAGCGCCAGCAGGCGACAGGCAGGTGAGCAGGCAGGATCCCGGCGGGAGCCGCTGTCGCAGCCCGGAGGAGCAGGGCTGTGACAGCCACCCGTGCCCATGGCGGGGGGTATCGCTGTCCTGGCAGCGTGCAGATGCAGCCGCCGTGTCCCCCGCGCACCGCGCCGCGCTGCCCCAGCGATGGCAGCCCCTCCCTGTGGGACAGCTGCGGGTAGGGAGCGGGCAATGTGCTCCGTACTGCGTGAGCTGGGCAGCACTTGGGCTCGACACCCCCCAGATGTGCTTGTTAAACCTGGCGGATCAAGCCGCAGGAATAGAAGTCAGCAAACCTGTAGTGAAATACCTGATCCTCTCTCTGTAGGAATGCGGTTTTGCAGCTTACCTGGGATGCTCCCTGTGCTCCGTTTCTGGTGCCTAGCAGGCACGGCCGAAAGGGGAGCAGCTGGGGCCCTTTCAGGAGGCTTCTGCCTCTGCTCAGCTCCCTGTTAGCCCAGCGACAAGGGGGTGAAGGGAGATGTTTTTCCCTGCCGCTGACGGGTTAGTGCTCAGCAGCCAGGCCAGGCTAGGAACTCAGCTGTCGTGCAGCAGCTGGGTGCAGAAAAGTGGCTGCAGCCACTCTCGATCGGGGCTTTGTGCAGAGCAGGCTTTGCCCTGGTTATTGCTCATCCTTGCTGCTGTCACTGTTGTTATCATCATTCATAAACCATTTGCAGGCACCTGCCTTGCTGGGTGCTTGGCAGAGTCACCGGCGGTCCATCCCTGCCCTGCCAAGAGTGCAACTGCAGCAGGCAGGCAGATGATGTAAGCCACTCTTGCTCCCCTTTTCCTGCACACCGATAATTATCCTTGTCCCCTGAGTAGCCAAAAGCCATCAAGACATCCCACATGGGCAGGCACTTTGTGCTGAAGAGATGCTGAAGGGATACTGCTGGGAATGGCCTTACATCAGGGCTCCCACAGGCCAGAACGCCCAGTGAAGAGAGTTCCAGGGATGCAGGAATTAGTGAAGAGACCCTTTGCACTGTGCACTTGTGCTGGGAAGATGGAGGAGGTGACCTGAGTGCACTGCATCTGCCTGGGATGTGGGGACCTCAGGGACACCCTAGAGCCTTCAGTTTTTCAGCTCTTACAGGTTTTGCACCAGTCTTTTGGGGTCTAGTTTTGGCGGCAGATTGCTGGGGGTATGTCATCCCTTGCGTTTCCTCGGGAGCAGGTGGGATGCAGTCTGCACCCTGGCTGCTACAAAAGCTCGGTTCCTTTTTGGCCAAGAACACTACCCCGGCAAGGCCAGGGCCCTTCTGAGCATTTAATTTTTCCTGTGATGCCAGCTACAGAGAATAACACCCACCTTCCTCACTCAGCAAGAAAAAGCAGGGGCTTCTCCCCAGCTGCCACTCCAGCAGCATCCTCTCCTTACAATCCTGCTCAGTCCGGCCCCCAGCCCCGGTGTGGTGTACCCCAGCCCCATTTTGTCCAGAGAGGGGTGGGTGAATGCCGGTGCCAGTCTCAGCAACCCCACCACGGGGCATCCCCACCTGGTCTGGGATCCTGGGGGCAGGCAGCCGCTCTCCCAGCGCCATTGTCTGGACGGTGCAGCCGCAGCAGGGATCGCTGGGGCGGTGTGGGAGCAGGCGGGAGGTGATGCTGTCACCTTTCTGTGCCTCTTCCTGACTTTGTCATCCTGGGGACCTTTGTGTGGATCCCATTTTTATCTGTTTTTTCTCCCTCTCACTCTTTCTCTCCTTCTCTCTTCGCTTTCTTTTCTCCCCCTCCCATCAGCATGTGGGCTGATCACTGCTCAAACTTTTAATTCAGATGGTAATTGGAATAATAATACGGGCAGAATCCTTCTGGCTCCGTTGCTGCAGCTGGCTTCAGGGAGCTATGAATAGCTCTGAGTCACACACTGAGATGGTTTAACTTCAAATCATTTTGTTTTGTTTTCATATTACCCATCCTCAGGCTCCAGAGCTTCACAGGGGGAAAAAATATCCCCCCTTCTCACTCCACTCCAAAATATAAACCGGGCAGAGGCACATGAATAAAATCCTCTTTTGGAGGGGGAAACTGGTCAGCGGATCATGCCTTGAGGGGCAGATGGGGACTGTTGGCCCCTGATCTATTTATAATTATTGAACGAAAAGGCAGAAGTGTGTATATAAAAATGGTATAGAGTTGATTACAGCTTCCTCCCCTCACCTTCCATATGTCAGTTGCCTTTTTAATATAGAAAAACTCTCCTGCACGGTGGCTGTGCCTCGGCGTGTGCCCGTGCAGCGCCTGCCCTGCCGGCACGGAGCAACGAGAGCTCGGCCGCTGCCTCGTGTGCCAGGACAGCCCCACGGCACAGAGCTGCCCCCGAGCCCCAGCACGAACCCTGGGAATATTCCTGAGGAGCAGGAGAAGAGATGGAGTTGCAAAGAGGATGGAGAGGATACCCTGAGCGCTGTGGGTCTGCAAGGCTCTGCTGAAAGGCAGAGAGGTCCCTCCTCAGCCGCGGGTGTTTCCGCCCCGGCTCCCGGAGAGGCGAGAAGTTGGTCTGCCGTGCTGTCAGCGTGCCGAGCTGGCAGCGGGGCTCTGGATGTGCTCCCGAGCCGGCCGGGGGCAGGGACAAAGGCACAAAGCGGAGCGCGACCAGCGGCTGCGGCATTGACCACAGACAGGAGAGGAGCATTTGCCAGACAACTCCCGATAAAGCAAAGACTAAGAGTGTAAAAATACCCTGGGATTTTTCCATCGTTGTCGCTCACAGTGTATGTCCCAGAGCACCAGATATGGTTGTTATAAAAAGAGAAGTGGGGGAGTGCTTTAGCGTGGACTTTTCTGTTCTGTTTCATGAGACTCTTCCATTGCAAATTTAAGGAAGGATTGACAATATATGATCTACTCTGGCAGGGGCTGGAGAAAGACTGGGAAGTGCGAGGCACTGCACTGTGTACAGGGGATGGGGCAATGGAGGTATTGCCCCGGCACCAAGCACCCGGACCTCACTGTGCTGCAGATCCCTTGGAAAGGGACAGCAGCAGTGCAGCCCCACGTGCCTGCTCGGGGCCAGAGCAGAACTGGGGTGGCAGCGTGGGCTGGTGCGATGGCTTGTGCTGCTGGAGCACGGTGTCACACGGGAAGGAGGAGATGACTGCAGCACCGTGGTGGTGTCCCTGGCATTGCTCAATCTAACACACAGGAGGGCTTGGGAAAGAGGGAAGGCTAGCACATGCTTTGGGGCTGGAGGCAGCTGCTGGCCCCTGGAGGCCCATCTGACTGGCTGTTTCAGCGCTGCAAGGCAGATTCCAAAAGTGCCGGGGGGCTTCTGCAGGCCATGAAATTCATGGGTGTTCATGTGCACCCAGGAAAGGCAGCAGAGGGGTGGGGAGGCTCCTGTCCAGGCTGCAGCCTCCTACCTAGCCTCTCTCCTTGCTGCATGCACCAGCTTTGTTTCATACCACTCCACAGGAATTGCCATTCACTCTGAAGCTTTCTCCTTCACATGTGGGTCTCAGGAGGCAGAGCAAGCTTCAAGAAATGCCCTCAGGCATGCTCTGGATTCGTGTCTCTGTCCTCAGCCAGGCTTTCCTCCTGCTTGTCCATGTGACAGGCAGCTGCCTATTCAGGATATGAACATAATCCCCTTCTGCTGGAGACACCTCTGAGCCTTCCCCCTTCATTCCATTTCTGTTTCAGGTTTCCAAGTGGCAAGGGGACCTTTTCACAGCCATTTGAACTACGTTTGCATAGGGTTTGGGCTCCTGGCAAGCCCCCAGGCCTTGCCAAGCTGGTGGCATTGATTTTGCCAGCAGGGACGTCAGTGGCGGCCCTGGCCCATCAGCTGCTGAGGAGGGACAGTGACCCAATGTGGCAGCAGTGCCCAGCCCAGGCGTTTCTTGCCTGCCTGTCTGTTCTTCCCATGGCGGCACCACGCGCTGCGGGGGTGTGTTGGGGTGGAAGTGGGAAACGTGTTTATTTCTGTCCGTCTCCTGGCTCGTGCCGCTCCGAGTTTGTGGCACTGGGTATTACTAACACTTCCCTGTGCCAGCTGGCAGCAGGGATGAATCAGATTGGCAGCACCACAGCGTGGACCCTGCACTGCCCGCTCAGCCTAGAGCGATGCCTGTGGCAAAGTGCTGGTGATGTCTCTTGTCCCTGACCAGGGTCAGCCCCAGCCAAGTGCCAGGGGCTTGGCCTTGCTGCTGGAGATGTCTCTGTACCCTGTGGGACAGGGCTGTCCCCTCTGGGCCATGCTGCCTGCCCAGGCTGGATTGTCCCTATCCCTCCTTTATGCTGGAGGTCTCAGGTGGCTTCATGAGCTGCTCACTGGCAGCATCGCCAGGCTGGGGTCAGCTCTACACCAGGAGGACAGCTTATCCTCATGCTGCCAAAATCACCTTTTGCAGCTGCTGTGGTTTAACCCCAGCAGGGAACTTAACTATCACTCAGCCCCTCTCTCCCTCTCACTGCCCGCATCCACAGTGGGGAGGGGAATCAAAAAGAAAAGGTAAACTTTGTGGGTTGAAATAAGAGCAATTTAATAATTGAAACAAAATATAACAATAATAAATATGTTAATAATATTAATATTATTATCAGTAACAATAATAACAATAATAACGATAATAATAATAATAAAACAGTAATAGTAATAATAAGCACAGAGAGAGAGAATAACAGGATCCAAGAGAAACATGTGATGCACAACCCCATTACTCACCACCCAGTGACTGATGCCCAGCACATCCCCAGGCATTCATCAGCCCCTTCCAGTTAAATCCCCCAGTTATATTCTGGGCATGATATTCTGTGGCATGGAATATCCCTCTGGCTAGTTTGGACCAGTTGTTCTGGCCATGCTCCCTCCTGGATTCCTGTCCATCTCCTCAGTGGCAGAACATGAGCAACAGAAAAGTCCTTGTCTTGGAGTAAGCCACTACTTAACAACAGCTCAGACAAGTCTGTTTGTTAGCATTATTAGCATTAGCATTATTAGCATTATTCTCATACTAAGTCCAACACTGTGCTGGCTACTATGAAGAAAATTAACGCAGTCCTAGACAGAATCAGGACAGCAGTTGTTTGCTTCCTCCCCCTCCCCTGCTTCTGACAACTCAGCACACATGGAACTTGACGACATCACAGACCTTGGAATGTTGGTGGTTCCAGGTGTCCCCAGAGCCAGAGGTTTGTGGCTCTCCTCTCCTCTCCCTCCTGAACACCTCCTGATCCTGGTGTTCTGAACAGAGGGATTTTGGTGGCCACAACAAGCACTGCTGAAGCTGCAGAAGGTGGCACACTGCTTGTCAGTGTCAACAGCCTGCATGGCCTGCACTCCAGGAACACAATTTGGATTCTCCTGCTTACTGCAGCTGAGAGCATCCTGAAAAATGTCGAAGCCATTTCGCATCTTTGGGCTAATGATGATGGTCTACCCAGAATCTCAGGGTTTGCAAGGTGATGATGACAATGATGGTGGTGATGATGACAGCAAAGAATCAGGGAACTCCTGTCATTCTGATGTTCCTTCACCCTTGTGCAAGAGCAGCGACAGCACAGATGAAAATAAGACAGAGGATCTGGGAGAACCAACATTTTTCGTAACTCCTGGGGACTCTTACATGGTGAAAGATAAACAGGTGGGGTTGGCCAAGCATGCAGTGGAGCTTGAGAAGGAAGATCAGGAGCTTCAGGAGCCATTTTACAAAGACATGGGAATATCTGGCAGATTGGATGGAGATGAGGAGCCCAGCCCAACCTACCACCTTCCTGGGCATCAGCGGTTGCCTGCCCCCCAAAAGGCTGGTACAGCACCAAGTGGCTTCCATGACTCTTTCCAGCACAGCTCAGGCCAGCACTTGGGGACAGAGGCCGCTGCCACACAGGCCCATGCCAGTGACCATTTTGTGGGACACCCAGAGAGCACCACGGGAGCGGAGCCCCACGTGCTGCACGGGGAGGACGGCGAGGACAGACAGTCCCTGTCCCTGCAGCCAACCTACAACTTGCTGTGGCAGGAGAACAGCATGCTCAGGTCGGAGAACGAAATGTTCAGGAGCGCAAACATCATGCTCGCAGCGGAGAACTTCACACTCAGGCAGGCGTTCAAAGAGCTCACGAAGGACAGGGCTGTGTTCATGGCCGAGGACGTGGTGCTCAGGGAGGAATACGACGTGCTCAGGGAGCAGTATGACAGGCTCGGGGGTGAGAATGATGCACTCAGGAAGGACAATGTCATGGTCAGGAGAATGTTCCAGACCTTCCAGAACAACTTGAAGAGACAGGTGTGCATGGTGGCGAGCCTGCAGGATCAGCTGAAGGCCAGCCAGGCTGAGCGGGAGAGGGAAGTCCAAGAGCTCCAATCCTTAGTCCAGGAGACTGAATGTCATCTTCAGATAATGACCCAGCGGGCTCTGAATGCTGAAACAAACATGGAGAGGCTGAAGCAGAAGATCTTTATTCTCCAAGGACAGCTGGAGAGATGCAAGCTGGGGAATGAAAACCTGAGAACAGACTGGTCTAGAAGCAGTGAAACAGAACTTATACTTCACCAGGCAAAACCCCCACGAGCTCATAATGGGCAAAGATGCCTCCCTCAGGTAGTTCCTGCCTCAGAAATGCTGCCCATTGTTACTGAGGTCCTCGAATCCACCAGAAAAATTCTCAAATTTTAAGCAGAGAAAGATCTATGAGTGTAGTTCTGTGTGAGTTCCATGGATCCATGCACAGTCCGAGGCCATCGTTCTCCCACTTGTAACCACTTACTGCAAATAAAAGCATTTACTTTGCCACTCTCAAATGTGTGTGCTCAGACTGGTAGCCTTCATCCTTTACGGAAATACTTTCCTTGTCGTTAGGTACCAATTGCAGGTACTGGTGTGACTTTAGCTGCTGATACTCTGTTCGGGCACTGTGGAGCCAGCAGCAAAGGCTGCCCAGGCTCTGAGCTGCACGGTCCAGCCTTGGTGGACTCTGCAAGGGGCTCTGCCACAGCCCCGGCTGGCATGAGCTTCCATGTGGGAGCTAGGAGGAAGCACAGGATGCAGTGCTCTTACACAGGGTGCTCATCCCACCCCATAGCTGTACCAGCCTGAACTGGTCATGAACAAAGCCCTTGTATTTCATCTTTGTCCTTTGCCCCTTTTTGGGAAGGGGGGAAAGGTGAGGAGCAGAGATCCAGGTGTTGCTGCACACAGTTTCACAGAGGGCCTTGGGCCCTCCTCCCTTTCTTTTGGAGCTGGCTGCTGCCGGGGCCAGAAATCCAAAATCTCTAGAAATGGTGCACCTGTTTCTGCAGCTGGAGAAAGAGAGTTGTTGGTTGTAGAAACTTCCAGGAAATTGTGAATTACTCATATGTGTGAGCTGTGACAGGGCCTTCCCTGTGTTATCAGGGTCAGTGCAGGCTAAGGATGAGCTTGGCATATCCAGGCTGGCTGAGAATGATGCCAGTTGAAGAGGATGTCTTTCCTCTCCTGGCTGGGGCTGGCACAGAGGGTTGTACATAAACTGCCCACCTTTGCCATCTCCCAAAGCCATGTGGGACCCTGCAGTCTGAACTCAACATGCAATGGCTCTGGTCAGCTTCATCCCAGCAGGACCATCTGCGGGTATGAAGTGACCTCTCTCCATCACATCAACATTTCTGATTAACTTAGGCTACCAGCCCCAGTCTGCTATAGGTTTACCCATCTGGACAGCAAAAATTCCTGGCCAAACCAACTTCATGAAGACTTGGACGTTGCAGGGCAGTGAGGTGATGGGACCTGGCAGAGTTCAGTGTCAAAGTGCTTTTTCCTGATGGGGATTTTTGGGCAGCTGTTCCCTTTGTTCTCTGTGTGGTGAGTTGTGGATTACAAGGTTATTTTCTTCTACTGCTCTCATAATACCCTTGGTCTGAACACCCATGTTTGCATTGCTGCAGAGCTTTAACTGCCTCAGTAACTGGGTAGTCTTCATCCCATCAGAGGTGATATGTGGAGCTCCCTTCTTGCTGCTCTCCAGCTCTGGTCCTAACTGGGCAAAGCTGGTGGGCACCTCTGGCCACGTGCAGTCCCATTCTGGGGCACTGATGATGGGGCAAGGGTGGTTCTCACAGCTTTTCCATCCTAGGCAACATCATTTGCTGTTCCTCTCTCCTGTCCATGCACAACCACTTGCAAGCTGCTCTAAGCCTTACATTTGATCCCAAAATCCTTGTATTTTTTCCCATATCTGGCAACCAGTGGCTGTTCATTGGCAAGGCTGGGAGGAAATAGATTAGCTGGCTGTCTGCATCCACACTCAGCACTGGCTGCTGTAATCCAAAGGCTACAGTGCAGGATTAGCATGGGTGTACAAAGCCCTTCCTAATCTGTGAGTCATTACCCCCTCAGTGCATTTCCCTTCCCAGCAGCTCTGGGCAGGTGGAATAGGTTGGCTCTTGAGTCTTTGGCTTCACCATCCTTCCATTCTGGGAGGACTGGCTTGGGACATCTGCTGGACATCCTCCCAGGACTCTGCTGCTGAGCTGCTCCTTGGATGCTGTACACAGGGCATGTCGCAAGGTTTGTTTCCTCTAACTGGCTTCTCTTTGGCTACCCCTGAGCCCTTCCTTTCCGTCAGTTCTTTTGGGCTCTACCCATTGCTTCCCTTCTTTTATTTGAAACAGGGTGTTCTGCACACCCTGGAAAAAATTCCCTCAGGGTTAGGCTGGGCTGACGGGGATCCCTGAGGGCTGCTGTGCATTTCTGTGCTTTGTTAGTCCTTGTGTGAGAGGTATTTAGCCTGGCTGAGCTCTCGCCCCTGTGTAAGCTCTGATATTAATATAATAGCTCAGGGCAAGGGCCCTGTGAGCGGCTCAGCTGCTGTGCCCTTGGTCTGGAGAGCGGTGACCGGCCAGCCTTGCTCCTCTGCTGGCTGGAGAGCGCGGGGTCTGCGGGCTGTGCACCCAGTCTGCACCATCAGCTCCTCATCTACAGGCTGGGCACCCAGTCTGCACCACCAGCTCCTCATCTGCAGGCTGTGCACCCAGTCTGCACCATCAGCTCCTCATCTGCCCAAGCCAGGCTGGAGCAGGTGCCCCAGGGACATCTCCCAGGGCAGCCTGAGCAAAAGGTTGGGAGCCTGTGCCAGCTGCTCTGATGGCTGCTGCCAGGGGGGATTGGATCTGACTGGGTTTTGCTTTGTCCTTCCCTGCCAGGCGCGTGCCCAGGAGCAATCGCAATGGCCGTGCTGGTCCCTGCTCGCCAGAGGTGAAACCTGGAGCTGCCCAGTCCCACGTGAGTGCTGCTGCATGAGCTCCCGCGGCCTGGCAGCTCCAACGGCCCCCTGACACCTGATGACCGAGCGAGCCATGGGCAGCGTCCGGGTCAATCGGTGAGTAACCTCCTCTCGAGACCTGCTGCTGCCCTGAGTGACCCGGCTCCTCATCTGGCCCCTCAGACCCTAAATTCAGACTGCCTTTTGATATATTCTTCTCAAATTACCTGTCAGCGGCTTTCCTGTTCTAAGGAATGACTCCTCTCTCCTCCTCCAACCCAAAACATGCCATATGTAGGGGTAGTACTTGGAGGAATACTATGGAGGAGAAGCAAAGCACTGCATGGTGCTGGACCAGAAATTACAGATTTCAGCAGCACTGCAGAAGCCACATGTTCCCAGGAATCACAACTCCAGCCACCAGTGCTGTCCTTGCCGTGAGATGGAGGCCCATTCTGGAGGACTCCAGCTGACATGTCAACACCATGGGGTGGGAGGGAGAGATTCCCAGGGTCCTGTGAGGCTGCAGCTGGCCAGGCATGAGGGCAGAGCAGTCTTTGTGCTTCAGTGCACACTCTTGGTTTCCTTGGTGGTCAGAGTACCATCTACCATCACATCTTTAAGGAGTAACTGCATGTGTCACGGGATCACATGAGGGGCAGTGTTGTAAGGGAGGGGAGCCAAAGGGGGAAAGGTCTCCCAGAAAATGTGTGTGTAGTTTCTGCCGAGGAAACTGCCAGTGCTTTGGCTGTTGATTTCCAAATTACACCTTTGGCTTTCGATAAGAGATGCTGGAAGACACACATGTTGCTGTGGCAACAGAATTGTCCTGAGGCAGGAAGTGTATAAACATTGTCACCACACACCATGAAATCAGTGAGCAGAGCAGAGGAGAAAATAGAAACTCCCAGCCTTGTATTATCTGAGGGCCAAAACGTGGTCAGGCTGCGGGTGCTTGCTGCCAGGCTTCCTGGCTGTCCCAGCTGCAGTCAGGTTTCAAACCTTGTATCCCTCCTCACCATAAAGGCTGGAAGGTACCACAAGCTACAAGCTGCTGCTGCTGCTTTGTTGCCCTGTCAGGACCTTGCAAGATGCATCTTCCAGGCAGCAACACTCAGCGACATTGCAGCAGATGCCCACCAGCTTGGTCAGGTTGGCACCATGGTGCAATAATCACTGACACGTGCTGTTGTGAGATCCAACAGGGTGGTACTGCTCCCCTGTGAACCACCCATGCCTCCTGCCCTTGCTGTCTTGGTGGTTGCTGTTACCCTTCGTGTATTCCTGACGGAAGTGCCTGTTTCTTCTGTTCCCAGGTACAGCATTGTCTCCACCGAGGAGGATGGACACAAGGTCTCTACGCTGGGCAGCATGAACGGGCACAGCCGGAACGGCAAGGGCCATGCTCCCCGGCGGAAGCACCGCAACCGCTTCGTGAAGAAGAACGGCCAGTGCAACGTTTACTTTGCCAACCTGAGCAACAAATCCCAGCGCTACATGGCCGACATCTTCACCACCTGTGTGGACACGCGCTGGCGGTACATGCTGATGATCTTCTCCGCCGCCTTCCTGGTCTCCTGGCTCTTCTTCGGCTTCCTCTTCTGGTGCATCGCCTTCTTCCACGGCGACCTCAATGCACCGGCCGTGGCAGGTAGTCCCTCTCTGCTCAAGCCCTGCATCATGCACGTGAACAGCTTCCTGGGGGCTTTTCTTTTCTCAGTGGAGACACAGACAACCATCGGGTACGGCTTCCGCTGCGTGACTGAGGAGTGCCCGCTGGCCATCATGGCAGTTGTGGTGCAGTCCATCGTGGGCTGCGTGATTGACTCCTTCATGATTGGCACCATCATGGCCAAGATGGCAAGGCCCAAGAAGAGGGCCCAGACCCTCCTCTTCAGCCATCATGCCGTCATCTCGGTGCGGGATGGCAAACTGTGTCTCATGTGGAGGGTGGGCAACCTGAGGAGGAGTCACATCGTGGAGGCCCATGTCCGAGCCCAGCTCATCAAGCCCTACATGACGGAGGAAGGGGAATACCTCCCCCTGGACCAGCGGGACCTAAACGTGGGCTACGATGTGGGTCTGGATCGTATATTTTTGGTCTCACCCATTATTATCGTTCATGAGATTGATGAGGAGAGCCCCCTCTATGGGATTGGCAAGGAAGAGCTGGAGACAGAGAATTTTGAGATTGTGGTTATTCTGGAGGGGATGGTGGAAGCCACAGCCATGACCACACAGGCACGAAGCTCTTACCTTGCTAGCGAAATCCTTTGGGGTCATCGCTTTGAACCGGTTGTGTTTGAGGAGAAGAACCACTACAAAGTGGATTACTCGCGCTTTCACAAGACATATGAGGTAGCTGGCACACCTTGCTGCTCAGCCCGGGAGCTGCAAGAGAGCAAGATGACCATCCTACCTTCTCCACCACCTCCCAGTGCCTTCTGC